TCCTTCTCTAGTCAACCTAAATAAGTACATAAACTGAATAAAAATAAAATAAAATAGAAATAGGTGAAATACGTATGTTGCTAAATTACTAACCAGTTACGACCTGCAGGAGTAGAGACGAGTGTTCCTGTCCTGTACACCAATATGACCTGACTGGTATGTCGTGTACTCGTACAGTATATGTTTAGACGAGTGACGAGCATGCCAGTGAGGCTCTGGCGGCCTGAGAAGTAGGGAATGTTTCATGTAATTTTGTCAAAGGTCTAAATAAGTAGAATTTCACAGGATGTATTCATTCTTGTTCCCATTATCATAAGAAATGCTGTTAAATTGCAACTCCATGCTGTAATGTTCTTTTTCGTTCTTATTTCCAGACTCCAGAAGAAAAATCTGAGAGATCCCGGGATCCCGAAACTAGGGCTAGTTCTGTACCAGAATTCAGGGACATATGAAACTCCGGGAAACCAGAAACCCACTGGGAATGAAATATGAACCTAGTGGACGTCAAGCTGTAAGGATTAGGTATGTCTGTCTCTCTCAGGTGTTCTAAATTTGAGCTGAGTTGAGCATGAAACAAGTCAAGGGATATACAGTATTGACTTTTAGTACCAAAACCATAAAATTTTAACAGTTAATATGGTATTGACGTAGATTTGTCTGAATGTTCGTTTTGCTTCACTTCAACTGTCAATAACTTTACAAAAAAATATATGATCAAATTCAGTCAGTCAGAGCTCAGAATGGTATTGTTGTCTCGAGTTAATTGCTTCAACTACCACGGTGAGTGAACACTGGTGTCATGTCTGTTCCGAAACACTCGACTTTAAAAAAAAAAACTCTAAGTGACAGCATCGTTAGTGTAGGACAAGGCGAGGATGATGCCTTTTTTTAATAGATGTTTCAACTGCCATGGTTGTAGGCATCAGTCACCGGGTCTCTTGCTTGCGATAACCAATGAGATGCACAGTATCTCTCTTAAGTTCTTTACTATTAGTTACTAATGTATTTACTAGTCTAGAATACACGCTTAAAGACCTTAATATTGAAGAGCAGTAATACATTATGACTAACAACCAACAACTCGGAATTCACCATTAGTTGAGATGTATAAAACCCAGATTAAAGGTTATGATATATTATGTATTGGTGTTTCTTCATCTTAAGTGTCTTTATGTATTCTTGTGTTTCTCCAACTAACTTCTTAAAGCACGTAAAGTACATGAAACAATAACTCTTAAACGTGTAGAAAATTAATGTTGTTAGTGTATAGGATTTGAAACTTGTACGAACATTCAGTTTCCCGAGTGGACCGTTTTGTCGCTATTCACTGTGCAACTAGATGACATGTCTCTACCGTAGGAGTGAGGAGAGTCAACGATACACTGAACATTGATCTCTTGAGGTGTGTGTATGTGTGAGCTTTGGTGAAGACCGAGTAGACAAGTGAGCGTAAATGATGAAGTTACTTAGTGTGTGGGAGTGTAAGGATATGTAGACTATGGTGTACTGGAGCTGTGTGGGCGTGTGATCATTCTCTCCTTCCTTTAAGATTACTGACCGTCATTTACAGGGGTGGTTATTATTACGGCCGTGTCCTTGTTGTTGAATGTTTAAGTTTACTGTAGCCTCTTACATTTGTTCTTCTTGTTGTTGACTTCTTTTTTCTTCCTCATTTCCTTGATGTTATTTTTGTTCTTTATGTTCTTCAATTTCCATTTCTTGTTCTTTCTTCTTCTGGTTCTTGGTCTGCTCCTTGTTCTTCTGGTTCTTGGTCTGCTCCTTGTTCTTCTGGTTCCTGTTCTTGATGGTTTTCAGGTTCTGGATGGTCTTTCTTGTTTTTCCTCACTTGGAGGAGAGCATCCTTGAAGGAGAGGCTCTTGGTGTGTTTCATCTTCACGATCCTACACTGTTCCCTCTGGAAGTTGGTGGAGAAAGCCAACTAAAGCTGAGGTGGATTTTCCGTCAGATCTCTCCATTTTTCGTTGCACGACTACTATTTTTGTTTTTCCTATAAATCTCCGATCTCGTTTTCGTCTATATGCTGTATTTCGGCTTGTGAAATAACTGCCCCACACCGCGTTGTCTTCGAATATTGTTTCCACCTTAACGGGACGTCATTGATGACTTTGACGTCGCACAATTGCTCAACCTGTCCCACGACGCTGAAGGTAACCATAAGACCACCAATCGGCCGGCGGACGACCTTTTTAACCCACTTCTTGAGGACGAGGAGGTTTAACTTTTCTGGAGGTGTGGAGTATGTAGCATACAACCGTACCACCGTCACCTTGTTCCAGTCAGAAAAGTTCATGGTGTCCTCGCTGAGGTCTTGTCTCGTCTCTGGCCATGGTGAGTGTGATCATTACTACCGAGGATAAGCAATAGTGGCGTTAACGGAAGAGTTGCGTAGGGGTGGGAGAAGAAGAGGTGTGAATGGTGGTAGAGGCGTCATAGTATAGGCTGAGGGTTATCATTCACGGGGAAATACCCAACATAATCACAGAGTGTGACCAGATAACCTCGCTCTACGTCAAAGGGTGTGTCTGTCGTGAGTGGCACTTCCTAAATGAGGAGTAAGCTCACTGTTATGGTTGCCAGGTTTATAAAGACGCAACTTCTAGTTACAAAGATCAATAATACAGTCAACCAAGTCAAACACTAATTATTATTATTATTATTATTATTATTATTATTATTATTATTATCATTATTATTAACAACGCTGGCTCACCTGAAGATTCGGTCTCCTAGATTATTTCTCCTTTAGGGGGATTAGATTAGATTAGATTAGGTTAGGTTAGGTTAGTGTTAGAGTGTTTAATTTTCAGGTTCAATAAGCTGGGAGGAGGGGGGGGGGTTATTACACTCCCAACCTGTATCAATTACATGTATTCTTATGGGAAAAATAGGTTTAATTTACACGTTTTTGAATTAAGCGGAGATTTTCAAGAACCCGATCCCCACGTAAAACGAGAGGTGGGTGGGTACTGGCAGACAGCGAGCGAGGGGATACGTTACAATAGTTTAACATAAGTAATGCAATGTGTATTTATTTCGGCGTAATTAATATGATTTTCGGTTACCAAATGTAATAGAATTAGTATGCCACAGAGCCACGCATACCAACCCTCCAGGGAGATCACGAGTTGCATGTAGCATTTCGGAAGTCAGATACTTTTTTGAGATACCAGTACTGTACAAAGTCTAATTAAGTTGATATTACAAACACTTCATTACTTAACAAGTTTGTACCACTGAATTATTGTGTGTGTTTTTTTTCAGAGTGTATTAACGTCTTTCATTGGGTCATATTTTAAGAGCAGGTCACTTATCAGGATCTACATTACTCAATAATCGGTGAATATATTTGGAAAGGTACATCTGCTATTCTGTAAACAACTGAAATTATCCCAAATAAGACTTAGAGTTTTTTTTTTCATTAAATTCCGGTATCACTATCATTATAACATTAAAATGATTGTAACTGTTATAATTATTAATATATAACATGAGCATTATTAACACAATGACAAGTGTTATTATCAGTGTTATTAATGGCACGATTTTGTACAGTGCCACATATTATACACATTACTTTTCCTGTGTTCCCCAGCTGGTTGTAGGGAAATCAGCTGGGGAACACATACTGGCATTTCAGTATGTTGTTTCTCTTACAAAGCCAGTTATCTCTACCCCTGAACACAATACAAAAAGGCGACCCTGCCCCTTCCAGTCTCATATACTGAATTTAGTTACATTTCATAAATAAAAAATCTTGGTTGTTGTCTAATATCTTTCTACTTCATGAGCGGCTGAGATAACATTCACTGAAGGCGACTTAACCACAGCTATGAGAACTACTTTAGAAACTGTTATTAATAATACAAGCTGCATTAACTTAATTTTATACGGGGTTAACTCTCTGCTGAATAACATGATCTGCCACAATAGCCACGATACCACTAATAATAAGGTTGTCTTGATATTACTTTTGACGCCACTCTATCCATATATATCCTGAGCCACTACTGTTTATATGAGTAGTATTACAATGAACAACTATGATGTTACGTTTAGTTTTAGTACTCAACTCACCCTTATTAGTGCTACTAGTATTGTTTTTTTAAATACAATTACAAGCTCCTAATATCACTAATTTTACTATAACACTATTACTACTACGACTACTACTACTACTATGATACTTCTCCTCCTTCTTCCTACTATGAGTAACAACACCTACTACTGCTACTGCTACAGCGCCCCAACACCAAAAACCGTAAACACTGTGTCATCCACAGGGTGTCAGGCGAATCTAAATTTTTTATCCCTTGTGTGACGCATGACGAGTGACGCCGCCCACCCCATAGGGTAAACACCATGACGGCTCGACGTATACACCAGCCAGACATGTCCCCCCTCCCCCATCAGCCATACATTTCACGACATTAATTAAGCCTTTCTTGATTCACGTTTTACAAGTGCAGATCCGGTGGTATAATGACTGATTGATCTTCTTCGGCGTGGCTAAGATAAGATGGCGGTGATGATAAAGATAATCCTGGAAACGAAGACAATCTGAACGGGAAATATTTGGTTTATAGGATTTTGGCTCCACAGTTTTTATATTTTAAAGCCTGATTAGTTTGGTGTTATTAAAGAAGGCACGGGACTCAATACATTTTATTTTTCCATGTTTATTATTGATGAAGACTAATAAGAATCATGTTTACGGTTCACCTGAAGATTTAATAAGCTCGTGTAGATAGTCTAAGACTCTAAGGTGTGTGTGTTGAAAGAAACCCGATTTAACAAGATTTGTAGTTGGGCAAACAAGCAATGCAATAACCCTGGACCAGTGAGAGAGCGCCGAGATAGTGACATCACTGTGTGGGCTGAGATGATTGGTGGAATGAGCGTGACGTACAGTAGATGGCATCCTCGACCAATGGCTGTGGGCGGAGGAGGGTCTTGTATATATATGGGTGCGCGTGGCCAGATGCTGACTTGGTTACCTCCATCCCTTGTAGACGAACGTGAGTTACTGAGGCTCTGCCCAAGCACAAGCAACAGGCGACACCCCGCGCCCTCGTCCCTCACAGCTGACGCAACAGGCTCTTCTCCCGCCAGTCTAGCCGAGCCAGCCCTACCTCTACACGTGAGTACTCGGCGCTCCTGCTGCCTTACTTCACCTTCCCTTCCTCCCGTCCCTCTATTCAATTTTTCATAGTCAAATTCCCATCCCTCTCACAGTAACCCTCTTATCCTTGGTCCTACCCTCAGCTTGTATTGTATTCATATATCTGAGATTTTTTCTCATTCTTTTTGTCATTCTTCGCCCCTTATTTTTACTCGCTTTTCTGTGTTCCCTCTTTAGTGTATCATTTGCTCTTAACCCTATTGCTTTCTTTTTTCTTAGCCTCTTCCTGCTGCTGTTTTCAATCATTCATTTTCTTCTATGCTATCGTTCCTGTCTTATTTTCACAGCTCTCTGTTGCTGCCTGTCAATTCTTCTGCTTATCTCTGTCTACCTTTATTCTGTTTCTCTCGTGTTTATGCCTCTGTTTATATCTTTCACCCGCTGTGTCGTGTTCTTGTCTTTCATTCTTTTTTGTCTTCTTTGCTTCTGATCATTCACCTCTGTCCCTAAGCCTCTATTTTCATACTCATTCGGGCCCTCGCTCCCAATTTCTGTATTAGTCCCAATTCTTATTCCCAACTCCAGTATTAGATCCTGTTTCCTTATTTCTCCCGATTCCCACATTATACTTCGTTCTCGGTTCATTTCCCAACTCCCGTTCTTCGTCCTACATGTCTCTCTTTCCTCCTTCATATACTTCCTCCTCCTCCTCCTCCCAAGTGTGAGACATAAAGTGCCAGCCTAGCCACCGAGAAGCCAAACGACAGATGTGGCAGTTATACCTATTTTCATATACGTATTAAAGTGATTTTGGTGTGTTCATTTCTTCGTGGCAAACTAACCGATCTATGTCTGACTTGTGAAAATAAATATCTTAAGTATCATCGCATTTTTTTGGGTATTGGAGTTTGTTGAGGATTTTATAACACGGGTAGAACACTGTTTTTTTGTGAAATGCCTCGTAAATAAATAAATGCTGCTTCGTTTGGATTTTTTTGAGGAGTTGGAAGAAATTGTGTTATTATTATTATTATTATTCCGTATCATTGTAAAACTCAGCTATACAGAAAGTTATATCAATATAAACTGGTCAGAATTCACAAAACCGAACTTTACTACAAACATGGTATTTTATCAAACGTTCTATCAACTTGAAAGGGAACTCGTGAAGTTGTTATATAACATTGCAAATATTATTCTGTGTAGGTTTATAAACTAAGCGACATTATGACCAAAAAATAGAAAATCGTGGAGTATTTTATAGACCATATGGCATGTTAGGTTACGTCTTTTTACAGTGTAACTCTATAATGAACAATGATTTCAGTCAACTTACTACAGTATAATTATCAACACCAGTTATAGTAGTAATTTTAAGACTAACGAAAGATTTAGATGATGAGTATCGGACTCGCACAGATCGATGGCTCAAACTTTAAAAGCGCTGATGTTTTAAAGTGTCACTACGACCCTACTCCTAAAAATTATAAGAGAACAAGTAATTTAGAAACATCAACGATCATTTACAAAAGAAAGCAAAACAAAGATAAAAACGAAAATCAGAGTTTGAGACAAGAAATAGTTATGACCGTAAGTGACTATATATATCTACAGTTTCTGGATCAGGGATAACTGTCTTGCTAAAATCTCTATTGCTATTGCTATTCATTTTCGCTTAAATCTACTGCCCTACGCTATCACTATTACTTAAAGTGACAGAATAGTTCTTGTCATTAGTACTACAACTATCATACAGAACAGGAAGAATTTCATTTCTTTTTGACAGTTGCTCTCTTACAGTATATATAAACTGACTTCAAAATACGCACTTATACAACAGCAACGGGTTACAGAAAAATTACGTTTCTTAACTGTTGATAGCTAGTGTATGGACCTACTTACAATACATATTTAAAGACCTTAGTTGTCGAATTACATAAATGCATAAATACAATAGCAACGGCTACAAGTATTCGCGAGTATTACAAGGGGGTAGATTGGTGGTCTATTTTGATGTATCCAGATTCATGTTTATTCTTGGAGAGTAACGTTTACTTTTATTCTCCTCTCGTTAGTACGTATACTCTGTATGTTTATTATTTGAACATTGCTATCAGTCAAGCTGTTTACGGTATAAACAAGTTAGTTCAAGTGTTTGGCGTTATGCTAGAAGCAAAAACAGTCAGGATTCTGATACAGGTTCTTACTGTACTTTACACATTTAATCTTCTAAAATTATTATTTATTGTGAGACTTAACTTCACGATCTCAGGGTTATCAGTTAAAACACGTATATTAGTTGGCGTCCTGTGTATGCCTTGTAAAGATCTTAGTTGTTGCAGAATAGTAATGACTTATAACATCAGCTATTTTAGGAAAAATCATGCTATAATCTTATCTTAGGATAACGTACATTATTTTTAATTACCAAAAAATAGGAATTTAAATGTAAAGCCTCATTAAGTACTTGACAAATATGATTTGTGTATCACACCTTAAAATAATGTACTACTTCTTGGTTTATCTGAATAACACTTCAAACTTTAACTGTTCGGCAAAACACAAAAGACTAAATATCAGAATTAATAGAACAAGCACAGAAAAATATTTTTTTTACTCAAATTGTGATAAGCAAAAACAAAAGGCCGATCTTACACTAATGACTTACAGGTTGTCATTATTCTTCTGTCATTAACAAACTGGAGGTAACAACACATTATGAATTCTTGCGTAAAACTTCATCAGCGTTGCTCGAGTTTCAAGACTAATGCACTGTTAATTAATGCTGTTTGTCCTCAGATCTAAAACTTGCAAAATGTATGACACTGCAACACAACACTCAGATAGCATATTAGGGTTAAGTCTTAATCCACTCGCTTTACTAACTTTGCTTTCGGGTTTATGTTTAATAAAGGCGTATGCGATTAAATTCATGATGATATTTACTGACTTTAAAAAATGAAATAGAAGGCCAAATGTGTTCGTTAACCCCGGTTGTCTATTAATTTCGCAATCACTGTGTTAATGGTTTCGTAGAAGAGTTAAAAGATAATATACATAGGTTAATACCCATTGAAATATTTTTTGTTTCTCTTAATCTACACCGAGAAGTCAAATTAAGAGACGTGTTTACTCACTATGTAAATTATAACAATGTGGCTGTACTGTAGGCCCGGGGTGAGGGTGGTGGTAAGAGAAGCAGGAGGTGGTGTGCGGATTGAGCCGATGGTTTAGTGGGGATGGGTGGGGTGGGGCGTTAACGATCAATAGTAAGCTATCACAAGTACCGGGGGTGAAGGATCACAGGAAACACTTTTTGTGTTTGTATTTTTTTTTTATGCCTGGTAGAAAATTTGATTCTCTAGGTGTTACCAGGAAAAATTGAGATATTACACATTTACATAAATTACAATTACCTGTTACTGTGTTAGGCTACGACTGAGTTACTACTTATTAAAAGTCTGGTAGTGAAGGTAATCGTATTGGACCTTTGTTATGTGTATTACAATCGATAATTTTTATGTATGTTAAAACTCGTAATTGTTTTGTATGTTAGTTTTAGTAGTGGTTTAATGCTTGGATTCATAAACACTGCTGCATACTAGGATAAGCAGTTGCTCTGTTTGATAGGATCTACAAAAATTATGTATGCGAGGTTAGGGAATTTCTACGTGTTCGTAATAAATGGTGCTAATTGTGTCAGCTAGGGATTACATTTGTTTTGTACACCAGTGTGGAAAAATACTTCGTGTGATGGAAGCGATAATAGCTGTTTGTGCAGTGTATGAGAAGTGTATGTATGCTAGGAATAAACCACTATGTTTGTGTGTTAGGCAAGACTCGTGGCCAGGAGTGGGTTATCATGTATGGAGTAGGTCGGGTCTACCTAGAACCTCCAACAATGTAATTTCCTTTCGATGAAATACAACATCCTAAATATCTAAAAAGTGACCTATTTAACACCATTCACGGGTCTGTTATATTCTTACCGCTAGGAGAGACAATTATTGATACATGGATCAAGTTAAAAAAAATCGGTGAAATACTATTCAGAATGTACGTTGCTGATTGATTGGGTATGTACAGCAATATCCGCAGGCGAAGTAGGATATTAAAGAGTATTGTGGACTTTATTTCAGCCGTGACTATTATAAAACTTGGACTCGGGTCAGTGCTGCTGTACGATATAGGGAATACAAATCGTTAAACATGTGTATACTTCTCCAGTGGCTCCAGGGCTTTTCGGCTTTAGTTCTTTGTCATGAAGCCTCTCCGCATCTCTCTATGCTGTGCTGCCTCATGTCAATCGTACATTACACCAACTTCATCATCATGCATGATTGGTTCTAGACAAGACATTTTTTTACGTATATTCAGAAAAAAACAACATTAAGATTGACACAAATAAACAGCTAACTTAATGATAAAAACATTTTAGAATTCATAGGTAATAATTTTTCTCAATCAAAGGGAACACCTTACGAAAATTATTATGGCACTGAATAAAGCCTCAGGTAATTATCGGGATATACTAGAAATAAGAAATTCGTTAAATACATTTCGTAGCAAATAGTTGCTTCAGGAAAAGATTATAAATCAAATGAAGATTTTTCTACATCGTGAAACAAAATTAAACGAAAAAGAAGACATACACACATTACATGAGCCAAGATTTTTAGGATATATATATATATATATATATATATATATATATATATATATATATATATATGTCGGTAAACAGTCGAGCCAATTTCCCGAGCAGTGACACTGTTGGGTCTAGTTAGCTCCTGGATGGGTGAACTCGCCAGCCGCTGGCCAATCCGAAATGGTCCACCACGGGGTTTCATGAAACACTTCTGGGAAGACTTACCCAGGAGTAATCTGATATTAGGGTATCTCTTATAAGAATATACTTCCAAAAAAATAGTATCAAATATGACTACTTTCCACCCTGTGAAGTAGATAAATATGAGCCCACATAGATGATACTTGGCTAAAAAATAAAAATAAAATAA